ATTTCATATACTAGCTAAATATTGGAAATGTAAAACAAATCCCTTGTAAAATAGCCTGAAAGTAATCTTGTAGGAACAAGGTTAAGGACCTAAAGGTAAAACATTCCAGGTGTGGTGTCTTATGCCTGTAACCCCACTACTCCAGACCTGAGGCAGGAGGATTACCATGAAGTATGAGAGTCATGACAACACTGGATAGGAAAATTAACTGACAGTAAACAATTAGCAATTCTCTCCTATAGTAGAGTAAAATGTATGTGAAGATATGTTATAAAATAGTAAGCTCTAAATGAGTGTCTCTTATCCCACATCAATTAGAAGAATCACAAATGGGAGTTTTAATATTGTAGTTGTCCTGAAGAGATTCTGCATGCAGTGGGTCAGGATGATTCTCAGATCACAGTGCACTGAGGAAACTATGGGGCCCAAAGGGGCTGCAATAAGCATGCCACTTCCATTATTAATAAACTAACATTGGGTCCTTCAGTCAGGCATTTGCTATATAAGCTGAATGGAGAAAATAGCAAGCAAAGTGACAAGAAATGCTTCTTAACCATTCGATTAATTTATCACAGGGACTTAAAAATTAGTGAGGCCACAACAGGGCTGAGGCATGATAGAGCTTTGATTTTTGTAGAATTAATGGGGGCTGACTACTAATACTAAGGACAGACTCAGATAAGGAGGAATAAGGAAAAAAGGAGCGTGTTTGGCTATTAGCCAGAAATTGTTCATGGCTTGAAAATACCTTTTAGTCTTATGGGTTTAGCTCATAATCCCAGCCAGGACAAAATAAAATCCGGCATAGCTCATTCATTGCTAAGATACAAATCACTGCTGATGTACTAGGTAGGCCTCTGGAACCACTGTGGCTTTTCTGGGGTTTAGAATGGATTAGGTTTGTGACTTGCATAATCCAGTGATTTCCCAATCATACCTCAAATGTATTAAATCAGAATGTCTGACAATAGAATCCAGATATCAACATTTTTTAGAGATCCCCAGGTGATTTTGTCTAAGGATAAGGTCAAGGAAAATACACATAGCTACCTCTCAACTTTGATAATCCAACCCAAAGCCATAATTTCAAGAAATGTTAATTTGCCTCCATCAACTGAGGTTCCAATTTACTACAGCCACTGTTTTCCTCCTGAAATGATCTTCCTGAATTATCAGTTTAGGCAAAACCGTTTTTCTCTACCCCACCACCGGTAGGTAAGGACACAAGTGGTCCTTATCGCCTGGTCTGCCCCAGATCTATGAGCTCACTTTATAACTTCAAAGATAACTTCTCTTACTAAGAAGTTGACAGGAAACCTCATTTCACTGAGAGTTTTGTGTTCGAAGTATAAGAAACAGCTGGGTGCTTAGAAAGATAATAGCCCAAAGCCCCATACAAGTCTATTGAATTAGAATCTGTATTTAACGAGAACATCAGGGGACATGTGTGTAGTTTGAAGTTTGAAAAGTACCACCCTAAAGCTTCCATTCCACAAGGACAGCTCAAGGACAGAAAGTCCACTACTTGGATCCAAGCCCATACTTTACCCTCTCTTTACAGTGCCAGCCTTCCACAGCAGGTGCCAGCAGTCTCAGTTATTTGTATCATGCCTACTAGGTGTCAAACAGTGGTTCGAATTTTTTCTCTATGGTAGGAACAATGATTAAACCCATTTTACAAATGAAGCAACTGAGACAGGAAGATTATTATTATGTCATGATAGCAAACCTGTAAATACAACCCCAACCCCTTGTCGCCCACAGTAATTCTTGTAGTCCTCCAATTTTTGAGCTGAACATGATATTTTGAAGGAGTTGAAAGAAGGTACACATACCCAGAGTGAAAGCACAGATTGTTCAGTACAGACATCATTAGAATAGTAGAGAAAGGATTACCATTGAAGCTTCATTCAACTGCAAAATTCTTATACCTGTTCCACAGTTACTGGACTAACATTTCTATGCATACATCTAGAAATCTGCACTTAATAATGCACTTTCAGGTGATTAGCGAGAATAAAGACTGAAACCATTAAAGTATCATTTCTTCGAAAATAATCCCTGTGTCTTAGTGTCCTCTAATTAACCCATGGTTACTTAATGTCATGTTCCAGGCTTATGAACAAAACACAAGGGTAAACAGGATTGAAGTAGAAAGCTGAAGAATCTAAAAATGGAATCTCTGCTCCTTCAGTCCCCTGGCTACCAAACTGAAAAAGACTTATCTAGGCTTGAAAAGTTGGAGGCAAAAAGATAGCACTGAGGCTGGAAACTATGATCACAATCCCTGCCATTTAAACAACTAATTGAAGGTCTAGAAATCGGAATAAGATTTAAACTTGCTTATAGAAAATTATTTTACATGTTGGGATTCCTGCATTCTCAGTCAAGTTAGACTAGGAAAACAAAGAGCCTGAAGTAATCCCTGGTCACCAGGGTGCCCTAGCTCAACTAAACTAATCTGGTTTCCTAAGTAAAGGGGACTTGGATAACCCCAATACCAAATTTAGGCTGCCAGTAGGGTAATCTTTTACTTCAGGCTTTTCGCGTTATAACTTAAACAAAAGGTTTATGCTAATCTCTGATGAGTCAGAAGCTAAAAGAAGCCTTGGAAGTGTATCTTTTATACATTACATTATTCCTCTGCATCTCTATATTACCATTAAAATTCGAAGTCAGTTTCTTCAATGCTGCGGTTAAAAGAGATCAGAATAGAGACTTTTTTTTCTGCTCCCCCCTATCCTGCCTATTTCAGACCCTGTTTGTCCAGTTCATCTACTGCAGATCTTCATTCAAGAAAATAAATGGGGAGAATTTCTGGGAGAGATTATCATTTTTTCCTTTTCCAAAGATCAGGTGTATAATCCATTGAATTTTCAAAGCTGCTTCTCATTCAATATGTTTATACCTGATTCTGCCCATAAGCCAAACTATTATATTAATTCTGTGGTAATGTTCAGAAGAAGAACAGCACAGATAGAAAACCACAAAAGCAGTCACCCCTCTTGCAGCTTAAGACATTGATGATGATAGTCAAGAAGTTGAGAATTCTTGAAGAGGTCTTTGGGAGCTGCCTCCATCCCTTTGCCTAAGCTGATAGGCAGCTTGAAGGGCCTTCTGATGTGTAGCAAGGTTGGGCATATTTTCATGTCGCTCTAATGAAGTGATACTGTAGACGTATGAATCGAAAAATGGGCGAACCTAGACACACGTGGCTGGCTGCAGCTTTCTAATGGGAAGTGGAATGCTCAGACTCTGACAGGCTACTCAATGTTCAACTCCGGGCATCATGTCTAGTGCTCTTAGTATCTTTCTTTTGTTGGGATCTATGAGTGCTTGTCCTTCTAGAACTAGCTTATAAGGAAACTGAACTAAGTTTGGGGAAAAAACTTAGTATATTCATCTCAGAATTGGGTCTCTGATGGCCTAAGTCATAGCCTTCTAAATATACCCAGGTATACAAATCACCATTAAAAATAACAAAAAAGGGGCTGGAGAGATGGCTCAGTAGTTAAGAGCACTGACTGCTCTTGCAGAGGACCCAGGTTCAATTCTCAGCACCCACATGTCAGCTACGAACCTTCCTTAACTCTGGTTCCAGGGGAATCCAAAGCCCTCTTCTGATCTCTGTGGCATTGCAGGACACGGATGCACTCACATACATGCAGGCAATATAAAAATAATAAGTAAAAATAACAAAGAAATACAACTCTTGCATTTCCAGTGCATATACCTGCTCAACACTGGTTAACACATTTGCTCTAGCTCTTCCACAGGGTTATCCATGCTGATTTAAACATAGCAATTAAAGTTAATGTGCTAATTAAGTGTGTAGAACTGAGTCAAGCAGGCATCGCAGTTCCTCGATGGTAATGACTCCTTAGAAGGAATCCCAGTGGAAAGAATGCTCAAAATAAGACATTATGTGATAAGAAGTTGGGAGTACTTGAAGAGATCATCAAGACATATGTCAGTAGTATACATTTGTTCTCTTGGAACCTGTAGCAGTGGAATTATGGCATAAAATACCTGAATATATTTTCCTTTCCAAGTACTAAAGAACTGGAGATGTAAGATTAGATTTATACTCCTTTACCCACTTTACTCTCAACCAGACTCACAGATGGAGGAGAAAGAGGCTCATATTCCGCAAGCTCCCACTTACTCAGCAGTGGGAAACACATTAGATGGTTAGAAAAGAAGATATAAGGAGAGCAGCTTCCACGTACCTGGCTGACACAGCCTTGGGCAGGGTGTCCACTCACTGAAAGCAGTCACAACGCAGTCTTTCTTGCATGGGAGGAAACAGGGCCTCACAGTTTCAGGCCTTGTAGCCTCTGGACATCTGTCAAGATGAAGAGACAAATCAGTGTTTTGGGTATTGACTTAGAACTGTCTGATTTTAGGTCAGAAGATAGTTCTTCTATAAGTGAGGATAGAAAGAACCAGGGAGATAATGCCTCTTGCCCAGGAGTTTACAACCAGAGGCAGAGTCTAAACCAACTCCAGTTCTTTTGACTCAGACACCAAAGTGTTTTTCCACTAGAGCAGGAAAAAATTACACCTCTAAAACTAACGAAAGACAAATGTTAAACTGTCACACCATCAGGGTCAATTCAAATAATATTTTTTTTCCAGAAAAAATAAATTTGAAACAATTTTTCAGGGTAATATATCAAGTAATTCATATCCTACAAAAGATGATAAAAATGCAGAGAAATATGTGGATATATAGGAAAGAAAAAATAATGTTCATTTAAAATGCCATGTATCTTTGATCATTAGAGAATTTGGAATATTTAAATGTTGACATGCTTTCCATAGGGCATGGAGATGATGAAACAGAGATGTGACAGGACAAACCACAGATGACAAATGAACCAGCATTAACTAGAGGAATGAATCAGTGCTACTGCTATGCTGATAATTAAATTAACGTCCACTTTTGGGAATTAAATGATCTAGTCAATCACTTGGAAGAAATAAAATTCTAGTAAGCAACAGAAGAGTTTTTCTTTGGCTGCTTTTTTGTGGGTTTCTGAATACAGAGTTGAAAGGCACATATATTATCTTCTACAACAGATATTCACCAACAAGAAACACAGGGCACTGTGCTGCATATGTTTGGGATTCCAATCCACAGGTTTCCTATAGGCATGGAGATATTGTGTATTTGAAGGTGAATGGCATGATCAATGTATCAGGTAGCTGTGCTCAGTTATATGCTTTCCCTACATGCTTATATTTATTCCTGACAGCAATTCAAAGCTATGCTAGCTTTTTATTTTATATGATAAACTGCATGGGTAATATGTAGTAGACTCCAAACTACATGGAGATCAAGCACTTGAAAAAAAAAATCTCATGGTAGCTAAAATACCATCTACTAAGTCTAACCAGACCATTAATGGATTTTCAATAGGAGAAAACAAAGAAAGCAAAGAAAATGAAAGAGATAGAATTAACAGGAAGATAATGCATAAATCTTCACAAAGCTGAACAAGGATGGTAATTCAGATGAACCCTCCCCCACCTATGCACAATAATAATCCACATGCAACATATAGATGTCTCCAAAGTTAAAGACAGAGTAACAGAGTCAGGAACAAAAAGAAAAAAAAA